AGAAAAAAAATGAGTAATAAAAAAAATAAATTTCCTATATTAAAAAAAGGAAAATACTTTTTGACTTTGTTGATATTTGCTATTGTCTTTTGTTTTCTGTTTCACTAATTTCTGCTTTTATCTTTATTATTTCATTCCTCCTATTTTGGGGGGGTTATTTTGCAGCTTTCCATTATGAAATTGGAAAGTATATACAGGACCAGATCTGAGCAGGTCCTAAGGAAGTATACATTGTAAATTGCAATGTGGCTCATGCCCGCAGCATGCCTATTTCTGCCCATACTGCCACCTTTCCCTCAACTCATCCCCAAAGGTCCCAAAGAGAATAGTTCCCTGTGATCAGTTGTCTGAGGAGTGAATAAAGCCAGGTTATGTTTATGTGTATAATATGCTGGAGCAGGCAAGAGTGGACTGATGTGAGGTAATAGCCCTGTTTAGGGGAGACACTGAAGTATAGTAAGGAAGGAAAGTTCTTCCAATGGGCAAGACTTTGAATAGTATATTTCATGGTCAGTTTTTTGTTTTGTTTTGTTTTTTGTTTTTTTTGGGTTCTTTGAAGGCAAGCTATACTGAGGTGAGGATCTGACCAGATTCACAAGTAGTAGCTAATGATTTTTGAATAGAAGGTTAGGAACTCAGAAGGAACAAGCATAGGGAATCAGTGCAAGGAAGTTTATGGACGAAGCATATGGATGGACCTCTTGGGAAAAATCTGGAATGCAAGGATTTTTATCTCAGTCTTTAAACTGTTTTTTTTTGTTGTTGTTGTTTTAAGATTTTAGTTGAGAGAGAGAGAACACATGAGTGGGAGAGGGGGGAGTGGCAAAGGGAGAGGGAGAAGCAGACCCCCCCCTGAGCAGGGAGCCCGATGTGGGGCTCGATCCCAGGACCCTGGGATCATGACCTGAGCCGAAGGCAGACACTTAACCAACTGAGCCACCCAGGCGCCCCATTTTTATCTCTTGATAATCAGATGGACAAGATACTTATGCCTGTCAGTGAGCTTTTTTCTCCACTCACCTACGTGATTGCTCTGTGGGCTCATGCACAAGTAGCCATGATGCAGAGAGGTTAAAACGGAGACATTCTGCATCTGAATGTGTCTTCCCACCTGCCATGATTTGTTGGCAATACTCTTCACTCTCATGGTATTCCACAGAGCATAGGGTTTCACCCACAAACTCACAGGCAAAGTACGTGGAGCATTAATCTTATAAGATTTACTCATCTTTCTTTCTTTCTTTTTTTTTTAAAGATTTTATTTATTTGACAGAGAGAGACACAGTGAGAGAGGGAACACAAGCAGGGGGAGTGGGAGAGGGAGAAGCAGGCTTCCCGCTGAGCAAGGAGCCCGATGTGGGGCTTGATCCTAGGACCCTGAGATCATGACCCGAGCTGAAGGCAGTCGCTTAACTGACTGAGCCACCCAGGCACCCCAAGATTTACTCATCTTTCTATGACTCCTACATGCTGCTACATAATGAAGCAGGGAGGAGTATGGTTGGAACCCAGAGGATACCTGTGGTGCCTCCTAGCACTCTTCCTGACAGCATCCCTTGAAACTTAGACCTCTCAAATGAAATCCAGTATCCAGTACTACTGGTGTCAGTGGTTCACACTGAATAACCCATGCTCGGTGGTTGCAGAAATGATGTCCTGACCACACACGTTCAGGAGAGGAGTCCTGGGTATGGTTTTTGACGTGAGCCTGAATATACATTTTTTTAAGATTTTATTTATTTATTTGAGAGAGAGAGAGCACAGGTGGGGAGGAGAGGGAGAAGCAGGCTCCTCACTGAGCAGGGAGCCTGATGCGGGACTCGATCCCAGGACCCCAGGATCATGACCTGAGCCGAAGGCAGACGTGTAACTGACTGAGCCACCCAGGTGCCCCCTAAGCCTGATTCTTTAGCCATCTTAACTGATTCTGTTAGCAAAATGATTATTATTATTTTTTTTTTACTGGCTGCTTGGAGTTTATTTTCCACTTGGTGGAAGGCACGCAATTACAGGGTGTCAAGAAGGCTTGCATGTGGCTTGGATAGTAAAGAGTGGGGTTCTCTCAACTTCCTTTTTGGTGTTTTGCTGTTTTGATATAAAAGAACCCAACTGCAGAAAAAAAAGAAAAAGGACCCAACTGCTTCTGCTTGCTGCAGCCTGCCTAGTCTACAGCGGGGGTGGGGTGGGGTGGGGTCGGGAGGGGCTCTGATGAGCCTAGTGCCTCCTGAAGCCTGGTGGCTGGTGGTGGCCACTCAGGATTGGGGCCCCGTGTTGGCTTTGCTAGGCTGGCCACCAGGCTGCTTCCTCATGGTTTCCAGAGCCAAGTCACAGGTGATCGTGCTGCTGGAGGCCTGGGGAGATTGCAAGCGTTTTGGGGACTCTAACACTGTAGCCGTGAGTGGGAGAGTGGACTTCCCGAAAAAAAAGCTTGCCCACCAGTGATTCGGTCGGCTTGGGGAAGCTGGGGTGGTGAGGGATGGCTTCCCCAGGATACTCTGCACTTCCGCAGGAGCTGTTCCTGGAAGGGAACCCAGGCGGTGCCAGCCATAGCTGTGGGTGGCCACGAGCAAGCCACTGGACGAGGTGGCTGCCTTGCTATTGTTTGTGGGCTGGTGGAAACCTCGGTGGTGACACCCCCCGCTCCCGGCCTCGGCGTGTGATCATGGGTGGTGGGGACAGGGATGCTAGGCACAGAGCCCATTTGCAAAGAAGACCATAGAAAGCCACTCCTCAACCGAGGGGCACACAGGATTCCATTAGTTGATTTCTTTCTTTCTTTTTTTTTTTTTTAAAGATTTTATTTATTTATTTGAGAGAGAGAGAGAATGAGAGATAGAAAGCACGAGAGGGAAGAGGGTCAGAGGGAGAAGCAGACTCCCCGCTGAGCAGGGAGCCCGATGTGGGACTCGATCCTGGGACTCCAGGATCATGACCTGAGCCGAAGGCAGTCGCTTAACCAACTGAGCCACCCAGGCGCCCTCCATTAGTTGATTTCTAATGTTTGAAACTAAGAACCCTGGTTTTTATAGTGAAATAAGTGGGGTTGGGGGAGCAGATTATGAGGTTGAATAGTGTCCTCTCCCGAAAGATGTGTTCAAGTCCTAATCCCCAGTACTTAGTACCAGCAAATGTGACTTTATTTGGAAATAGGGACTTTGCAGATATAATCAAGTTAAGATCATCCTGGGTTAGGTCATACTGGATCAGGGTGAACCCTAAATCCAAAGACTAGTGTCCTTATAAAAGGGGAGACACACAGGGAAGAAGGCATCCATGATGTGACGATGGAGCCATAATTGGAGGGAGGGATATGACAGCAAGCCAAGGAATACCAAAGATTGCCACAAAGAAGCAAAGAAAGATTCTTCCCCAGTGCCTTCAGAGGAAGCATGGCCCTGCCAATTTTGGATTTCTAGACTCTAGAACCATGAGAGAATACATTTATGTTGTTTGAAGCCACCTGGGTTTTGGTCATTTGATACAGCAGCCTTGGAAACAAATACATATTTCATTCAGGGTACCCTGAGTTTGTGGAAAGATTCAGTCCTGGGAATTGGATGAGTGTCTGGCTGTGTTCTCCACTGTGGTGATTTGACACAGGTCATAGTTTGCTGAGCCTTGAGGTGGGATGTTAGTGGGCTGCCCCTAAAGAACACATGATTATTAGCCCCTGTCCAAAATTCCTTTCGTTAGATTATTCTGATTACCATGGTGGTCCTGCCATCCATTATGGTATTATACCCACATTTTTTCCTAGAAATGGAATTCTACTCTTGTCTCTACTGCTACCCAAGGAACCTGGTGTCCATCCCCACTGAAATCGGCATTATCCCCTACTAGCGCACCTCGCCAGTGAAGAACAGCCACAACGATCTCTTAGAATATGCTACTAGTCTCCTCAACAATATTGCAAATTTAATCAAATGCAAGATACTATCAATAAGATGGAACTATTAATTTTATGAACCACTTAGAAAAACAAAACCCTGTCAAAGTGTGATCTATAGTAACTTATAAAAGATCCTCATTTCACAGACATGAAAACATGTGCATCTTAGAACTCATGAAATATAGTAGTTCTCAAAGCCTTGGTGAAGCAGGTGTCATTGAAGCTCTTCTAAGGAAAAAAGTGTGAGTGAGCAGATTACACATGATAAACCATTCTTTTTTTAAAAGATTTATTTATTTGAGAGAGAGAGAATGAGAGAGAGCGAGCACACGTGCAAGCAGGATGGGGAAGGGGCAGAGAGAGGGAGAGAGAATCTGAAGTAGACTCCGTGCCCAGCGCAGAGCGCAATGTGGGGCTCCATCCCACAACCACAAGACCATGACCCGAGCCAAAACCAAGAGTGGGGCAGCTTAACCACTGAGCCACCCAGGCGCCCCCATGATAAACCATTCTAACACTTGTATCTCTCTAAGATTTCGGATTTCTTCTTATTATTCCAGGGAATTTTTGGCAACTTAACTTTATTTAATGTAGACTATGATTGAGTCTAGGTTTCAGTTCACCAACTAAGAAAACAATTAGAACTACTACTTTTTTTTTTAAGATTTTATTTATTTATTTATTTATTCATGAGAGGCAGAGAGAGAGAGAGAGGCAGAGGGAGAAGCAGGCTCCCAAGAAACAGGGAGCCCGATGCGGGACTCGATCCCAGAACCCTGGGATCATGACCTGAGCTGAAGGCAGATGCTTAACCATCTGAGCCACCCAGGCACCCTAGAACTACTACTTCTAACTGCTTAAGTCAGCATATTGAATCTAAAATCTCTGGTATGCCTACCCATATTGATAGATTCAGCCTGATATCATTACCCGTCCTTGATCTAGCACACTCATATTGTATAACCATACATATTTGCTAGAGTTATTACAGATATTTCTGTGTGTAAGCCTCCTTCTGGGGCAGACTCTGTATTTGTCTTTCTGGGCACATTGGAGTCTGATTATTGTTATAGGTTTGGAAAAAGTGAAGAGTTGAAGAGATGATGAGGCGATGTGGCATTCTGTGTCAGTGAGCTCAGGTGAGCCTATTAAGAGTTTTCAAGCAAGGCAGGAATGGCATCAGCAGGCAGGAGAGCAGCAGTTGAGGAAACTGGCAAAGTGAGCTCCACTGCAGATTGAGACTTATGGATACCCTGATTCATCTGCATCCTCTTATATGTCACCATTACAATTCCCAAGGTCCTTTTCACATGAGAGACCTGGTGAAGTTATGAATTAAACTAACACTGTAACTTGGCAACTCATGGGATCAAACTTTTACATTTGTCTTTTGCTTTTATCTGCTCTTCAACTGCAAACAAGAAGAGATTCCTTTATTGTAGTTTCAGAAAGCCTCTGGTTTTCAGTCTGTGCTTTGATAGTAGGATTTAGGAATTAGAATTTGTTGTCTTTTTTTTTTTTTTAAAGTAAGGTCTACGCCTACCATTAAGGCTTGAACTCATGACCCCAAGATCAAGAGTTGCATGCTCTACCAACTGAGCCATCCAGGCCACCCCTGTTATTCTCTTTCTTTAAGCCAGTTTTCACTGGTAGTGGTTTTGTCTCTTCCAGGGGATATTTGGCAATATATAAAGACATTTTTGTTTGTCACAACTGGGGAGAGATGTGTGTATATGTTACTTGCATCTATTGGATAGAGACCAGGGATATTGTTATGTATCCTATAATGCATAGGACAACCTTCTATAACAAATAAATATCCTAGCCAAAAAAATGTCAGTAGTTCTGGGGTTTAAGAAACCCTGTTTTAAGCTATTCACCACAGTAAGAAGTAACCACCCTATTCCACATCCCCTAATTCCTCAAATATGCTGGTACCCCCCTCAGCAATCTCATCTCTTGTCAAAGAAGTATTATGACATGATCAATTATAAGAAGCACCACTATTTTATGACTACTAAGAAGGAAAAACCACTGACAAACCATAATAGTACATTGATTTTTAACACATATCCTTTTATGTGTGCCCTTCATACTCTTCTGTGTCAGCAAATACCGAAGCCACTTCATGGGCACTTCATTCTAGATGACAGGTGATAATGTGACTGCTTCTCTACAAGATGCCATAGGATACTAGAGTCATGTCCCCTAATACTTGCAGAATTCTGCTTTTAACCCCAATAAAGCCCAAAACCTAATCCTTGAAGTCCTGTTGTTTACAACCACTCCTGATACAAATTTCTGCTTTTCAGCAGCAAAATTGTGTGTGTGTGTGTGTGCGTGCGCGCACGTGTAAAATATACTGGGTTACTGTGTAGCTTATGGAGGAACCGGGATTGCTGGAGACCACATTTAGGGCTACTTTTAATATCACCCCAAGTTAGGCTATAGAAGTGGTCCAAAGAGGCTGGTGCTGCTCAGCAGTGCCAAGCAGTAGGTGCTGTAGGGCTGGCTGTGGATCCTCACTCTAGCGTCCCCTCCACTGCTGCTTGCACTTGAGCATGATGTCACGGTTACTGCCATCAGCGTTCTCATCATCTACTGCCTCTTCACTCCCTGGCTGGGATGGAAGTGTCTAGTTCAGGACAGCTTAAGCACGTGCTTGTGCTCTAGTCACAAGGGAGGCTAGAAAAGGAAATATCTCTCATTTTCAGTATCTATAATAGGTGAGGAGGAGACAAATCCTGCTGCCATCAACGTTGTATTATGTGGGGAGTTCCCCAAATAGGGAAAAATGGCATAGATTCTGATTGGCTACAAAGAATGGTGACGGTCCATGGGACACCTGGGTGGCTCAGTCGGTTAGGCATCTGCCTTTGGTTCGGGTCATTGTCCTGGGGTCCTGGGATCAAGTCCCTCGTCGGGCTCCTTGCTTGGCGGGGAGCCTCCTTCTCCCTCTGCCCCTCCCCCGACTTGTGCGCGTGCGCTTCTCTCTCTCTCTCTCTCTGACAAATAAATAAATAAAATCTTAAAAAAAAAAAAAATGGTAAAGGTCCACTACATTCTTCCCACCACTCTCTCCCTTCTGCTCCAAACAGAAAACCAGGAACAATCCTGATTGCTCTCTTCTTGTCACTTAGTAGTCAATCAATAGTTGATTCTGTCTCCAAAATACAGTCTTAAAAAGTAAGCTCTCCCCCAATAAGGGCCTTGAACTTACAGCCCTGAGAGCAAGAGTCACACGGTCCTACCAACTGAGCCAGCCAGGTGCCCCCCATATAGAATCTTGATCCATTCTCTTTTTGTCTCTGTTGTCAATAACTTCGTACAGGTGACCGCCATCCATCCCATCTGGATTACTGCCCTTGCCTCTTTCTTCCCCATTTGCACACGCTCTCCCTTCCAATCCACAGCCCCCAGAGCAGCAAATGTGTTTCTTTGCAAATCACCCTATAAAACTTCTTTGCTTAAAACCTTCAGTGGCTTCAAAAAAAAAAACAAACCTTCAGTGGCTTCTTTTTGCACTTAAAAGTCCAAAATCTTTACTGGAGGGTGATCTTATGTCTCATTTTATCTAGGATATGATTTTTTTTTTTAAAGATTTTATTTATTTGACAGATACACAGCGAGAGAGGGAACACAAGCAGGGGGAGTGGGAGAGGGAGAAGCAGGCTTCCCGCGGAGCAGGGAGGCCTATGCGGGGCTCGATCCCAGGACCCTGGGACCATGACCTGAGCCGAAGGCAGACGCTTAACGACTGAGCCACCCAGGCTCCTCTAGGATATGAATTTTAAGAGAGTCTCCTTTTATTCTCAAAAACGTAGGCTCTGGACAGTAAGTTCCTGGCCCTTTACCTGTAAGGCCCTGATTTTCTGAGCCCTGCTCCCTGTCCCCCTCCCCCACTAAACTCCATGCACCCGTGTCTTAGCTCTCTGCTCTGGGGCCTTTGCAGGCTCTGTTCTTCTGCCTGGCCACATTTCCTCCTGCTCTCCACACCGTTCTTGTTACCCTTCAAGTCTCAGCTGAATGGGCATCTCTGAGAGGCCTCCCCTCCCCTCCCTGTCTAAACAGCCCCCACCCCCTGTTCTGTGTATCGTTTTCTTGTTCATTTCTCCCAGTCTCCAGGATTTGATGTTTAGTTGTTCTGTCCCACTTAATTCTTGTCTTGCCCACCAGAAGATGAGCTCCCCGAGGGTTTGGATATGTGTCTTACCATTGTATCCTAGGGCCCACACTTAATGGTTCCCTTCATAAAGAACTTGTTAAACAAATGAATAAAATTAATAAGGCCTTCCTTCCCTGATCTCCTGCTACGGTTAAGCTACCATGCTGAACGGAGTCAAAGCACACTGTGCTTCTTTTCCTTGGCGCATCATTGTTGTCAGCTTCTCCTTCTAGATTATACTTCCCTCAGAACAGAGGCATGTCTCTCTTGCCATGCCTACGACAGGGCAGTTCAGTAGGCATGAGTCTGCTGCGTCCCCTGTGGAGTGATGTGCTTGGGAGCTGGGGAGAAGGGGGCAGAGGGGATCTGGGCGGCCTGGCTCTGTGGTGGCATGTGGAAACGGAAGGGTGCGCGGGCCTGGTGCTGGATGGGGGGGACAGGGCATTGGCTGCAGGCTTCCACGTGCACTGGGATTAGCTGGCCTGCCCTTTTTCTTCTGCACAATTTCCCTTGACTTCCTCTGCTTCACTCTTGTTGTCCCAAGAGGTTTCTTGATCTTCCTAAAATCTGGGCACATCGAAGACCCAGGCCTTCAGCCAAGGCAGATGGCAGTGGTGGGAGCAAGGCCTCTAGGTCCTGGGGAAGAGTTGGAGAAGAGTGGAGAGAAACACTCCCAGCTAATAGCCTAACTCGCTTCTGTGTTGTCTTTGTAAACAGACGACAAGACCAGAAGTGACCCAGTCATCACCACAAAACCTACAACCTCAAACGCGCCCATCCCGGCGCCAGCAGCCGGTGAGGTGGGGGGGGCCGCAGACCAGGCTACAGCAAGTGCAGTTCCGACACAGACTGAGAAAAGGGTGACGGCAGTGGCCGCCGGCGGAATACCCCCAACGGTGCCCGGCAGCTTGGGGCCCACGTTAGCCCCAGGCGGGCAAAGCGCAGCTGTCGCGCCCACGGATGAAGATGCGAAGGCCTCCAGCGAGCCCAGTGTAGCTAGTGATGGCGCAAAGGAGCCTCAAGGTTTAAGCAAGACGACACTTGGCCCACCCGCTAAGTCCACGCAGCCTGAAACCGCGAAGAGCCAGACAGCTGGAGCCCAGGGTAGCCCGGGTGTTACCACCAGCTACATGACCACTGAGGGCCAGAAGCAGGCGACCTCTCCGTCCCCAGATCGGGTTAGCACCCTCAGCCCTGCTTCTGCTCTCCCCCTCGGCAGCGCCCCAACAGGCCCTCACAAACCAAGTGCAAACCCTGCTACTTCGAAGCCTCCAGGGAGCCCTCCCGAGGGACCAAGCAAAATCCCTACAGTAGCTCCAAGTAGTTTAGGCACGAAGGCGGGTCCCAGCTCCAGGTTACACGGGACACCTACCACACCACGTAAGTCATTCTTTGTTTTTCTTTTCTTTTTTTAAAATTAAGTAGGTTCCACACCCAGCGTGGGGCTTGAACCCCTCACCCCGAGATCAAGAGTCACGTGCTCTTCTGACTGAGCCAGCCAGGTGCCCCAAGTAATGTCTTTTTTTCCCCCCCAAGCAAGAAGAAACTTCTGAATGCTTACATTCCATACAGTTGCTCAGCTGGAAGATGGAATTCATGCTGAGGGTTAAATTCTGTGAATACCCCACCTCCATTCAGGCTCAGGTTCCCCCTTCAGTGCCAAAAAGAGGCCAACAGGGCTGTGTTATTCTGCTGGGGGGCCGGTGTTCTGGCCTGCCCAGCTGAACCCATAAGCCAACAGTCTATTCCTGGGTAAGACTTGGGTGGTTGCAGTGGCGGGGCATTAGTACTCAGAACAGTGTTTCTCAAACTGGCAGTCTCCAGTAGGAAATACATTTTATTTAGTTTTACACCATGATCCAGGAATACAACATGTGTAACTGATAACAAAAGTTTCACTAACCAGGGCTGATTTTACCATATGTGATAGGGCCCTAGTATTTTCTATTCCATCCCATTTCCTTGGTTCCTTTTTAAAAGTGCTGATCTTAACCCAGTAAATAAATTTTAAAACCCACGGATGGATCATGAGCCTCACGAACATGACCTGTGGCAGATCTCTGTTGAATCAGAATTTCTCGGTGTGGACCTGTCTGCATTGTCGAGAACTCCGCAGGTGGTCAGAATGCATCCTGATGTTAAGTGCACCTGCTTCTCCTGCAGGAGGTCTCATCCTGCAGTCAGAGCAAGGGCTCTGAGCTGGATACACCTGGATTCAAGTTCCTGATGTGCCGCTTCTTCACATGTGACCTTGGGCAAATCATCAGGCCCCTCTGAGCCCAGTTTGCTTATTTATAAGTGAGGGTTACTTATGGTACCTTCCTCGTCGGGATGTTGTGAGGATTAACTAAGAAGGTAACCCTGGAGGCACAGAGGAGAGTCCCCCAGATGCAGTGAGTGCCCGTTGAGTATTAGCTTTTGCTGCTGATGTCACTGTCACTGTGACTTCTTTTATCGGGTCTCACACTGGCTTGTCCAGTCTGACCCACCCTGGAATACGGTACAGGAAATGGCTTCATCGGTTTGCCTCTTCTTTTTTAATAATTTTTTTATTGTTATGTTAACCACCATACATTACATCATTAGTTTTTGAGGTTTGCCTCTTCTTCCTCATAGCCTGCTTACTTTAGCTTGTGGTCTAGGTGGGGGATAAGGCCAAAGAAGCCCCAGGAACTAAGAACAAGAGAGACTGCCCTCTGCTGTTAAAGGTACCACTCCTCTTTTCTCAGAGCCTTTGCTTTCTGTTACAGCATCACTGGTTACCTTAGAAGGAAATCTGCAGAAATCCAGCATGATGCCGGCTGTCACTGGGACCTCTTCTTCCGCCACTGGGACCTCTTCTCCCGCCCCTGGGACCTCTTCTCCCGCCACTGGGACCTCTTCTCCCGCCACTGGGACCTCTTCCTCTGCCACTGGGACTCCCTCTGTTCCTGGGACCTCTTCGTCGGAGGCTCCACAGCCTGCAGGCCCTTCATCGGGACCTGTGGCCACATCTCCTGTCGAGGGATCCAGAAGCCCCAGCACTCAGTTGGCTTCGACTGCCCCCCGAGTCTCCAACATCCCTCCTCCTTCCTCGGCTCATGGGGATGACAGGGTACTTCCAGCAGGGGTGGGACAGATAAGAGAGCCCAGGCTCAGATGGAAGGGGCTCTAAGAAATGTTTCTACTTGTCCCTCCAGCCCAGAGCCCCTGGCGAGGGCTGTTAGGAACCATCAGCCAATCCCCTCCTCTCTCTGGCTTCGCCAGATTCTGGCTTAGATAGCTGGATGGCCAGTAATACACCTGGCTCTGAAACTCTGTCCAGTCACACCCCCAGCTTGCCAGGAGCTCCTTCCTTTGTGTCACCCACCCTGGGGGGAGGAAGGGAGGGGTCAGTGATGGGACCCCGCCAGGCTCAGCCTGAACCTGAATCCCAGTGGCTTCTTCTTCTAGATAAAGTGCGAATCTCCCGAAAGGCTAACTGACAAGATGCTCATCCTGAACTTAACAAAAACCAGCCTCTGTGTGAGTACCCTGCTGATCTAGGCTCCGCCCTGATCTACACCCCCAAACTGTGGTTTAGCAGCAGGGGTAGGGAAGGTAGAAGGGAATGGAGTGTTCCTTCTGAAAACAGGCTGAGAAATGTGTTCATTTTCCTGCCCTTGCTCTTTCCGTGGGAAGTGGCCCCTTCCAGCCGATAGACAAAGTGAAGTTCAGACTCCCCTAAGTCAAGTCCCACAGGGCTGCTGCAGGGCCAGAAGTCCCCCTGGGTCTCCTGGGCTTGCCCTCTGTAATTATTCACATGTTCCCAGAGGCTGGAGACCTCAATCCTAGTTCAGGCTGTGGTTTAGTTAAGTTGATCTCTTTGAGCTTCAGAGACCCCGGCTGAAAACGAGAGGCTCAGTCAGCCTAACTAACTTTCCCTGTCCTAACAGTCTGTGGTTTTCTGTTTGCTGGTCCATGTATTCATCTGACGGTCTCAGTGGAAGAACAGCATGGAGATAATCTCGCTCTCGCCTGAGGGGTCAGAGCTCCTGAGCATTGAGGAGGCATTGCCCACACTAAGGGGGTGGTGTGTGTGTGTGCGCGCGCGCGTGCACTAGGGTGGGAGTGTCTGCTTGTGTCAGAGGACATTTGCATGAGAGGGAGTGCTACGTTGGGGAGCTGTTGCTGCCACCGCTGCTTCAGCCAGCCAGTCTTTGAGGATTAAGGGGCTTCCTGAGTGTCGGTGATGGGTGGCTCACGGCTGCCCTCTCCTGGTCAGTGGCTGCTTTTGCAAACACCCCCTAGGAAGTAGAACGGAACGACAGGGTTTCTAAAGGATGGAGAACTTGGGTTTACAGCATTTTAATGCCGCCTGTATTTTTTTTTTACAGTTGTTTTCTTCTGAGTACCCATTTTGCTGGAATTTTCCAAAAGCATGCATTTAGACTGGAGTTTTAAAGGGGAGCCGTGTTGCCCTGGGGCTCGGCTTATTGGACAAGGCAGGAATCACACTGCTGCATGCCCAGACATTCTCAGGCTCTCTTTTTGGCTAAAACTTGCCAGGTTGTGTGACTGGTTGGGAGAAGCATTTTTTCTGTGTGCCATAAAAGGAAGGTTGGTGGCAGAGGGATTGGTAAGCTTAGGAAATCCCAGATAGAAACCCCAGGATGGCTTGGGGTCCCAAGGTGAGCCACGCCAAGAGTCCTTTTCTTCACCTCAGTACCCTATTCCAAAATCAGGTCAGAGAAACACAGCTTGGGGTGTCTCTAGATGACATGGCAGGACCAGGTAAAAGCTGTCCACACTTCGCTTCCTCGCCGTCAGCACTAAAGCCATGTCAGCCGTGCTCTGTCTGCTGAGGGGTACAGAAGATGCCCCTTCAAGACGTCCCCACGTGCATCCTCAAGACACTCCCATGTCCCCTTGTTCAGTGGTGGCCTTCCCTGGCTTCGCGGCCAGAGTCTTAGTCTAGGGAAGGGCATGCACGCTTCAACTTTCAGAAAGATAACCTTGGGCTGAGAGCTGGGGCTTCACCTCCTGAGGTCTGGCAAGTGGCAGGCTGCTGGGCAGCGCCGCCTCAGGCCCTTCTAGGGAGATGATAAGGGCATCAGGTCATGACCCCTGAAGAGCTCCGAGAGAGAAGGGGGCACTCAGGTGAAAGATCCTGTTCAGGCACAGACGAGATAAACAGCGTGAGGGGACCAGGGGAAGAGATTTGCATTAGTCAGAGAAGGCAGGGACTGGCCCAGCACAGCACATAACCTGTGACTCCTGCCAGGCCTGGGAGTGGCCCCAGTGGAGGGAAGCGGGAAATAGGTTCACACCAGGCAGCAGCATTCTCCTGACCTTGGCTCTGAAGGGCAGCCCCACAAGCCTAGGCTGCTGTCCTGATCCCTGAGGAATCACTTGTGGTCTCCCCACAATAGGCGGGGAACAGCAGTTCGGATGACAAACTGGTCACACTTCTGTGCCGAGCAGCAAAAGCCGCCTTCAACCCAGCTCAAGATAAGTGCCATATACGGCTGGTACCTATTCAAGACTCCCAGGCAGTGGCAGTCAAAGAAATCGCTGTCCAGAGTGAGTTGAGGGTGGTAGGGGTTGCTGAGGTCTAAGTGGGGTGGGAATGGGGCAGGGGCTGACCGCTCAGGAGCCATGAAGATGGGTCAGGGCTGGTGTTTCCTCAGAAGGGTCAGGCCACGCCCCCTTCCAGGGCCACCCAAGAGAGACCGCACTCGGGAGACTGAGGTACAGCGCGTCCTCCTCTTGGGGCCCAGTCTCCATCCCCTACACATCACTCTGAGCTGGACCACCAGCAGCGTCTCTCTCCCCACAGCAAAGCTCCTGCCCAGGGATGCGTATGAATCGCTGAAAGACAAGTGGGACGAGCTGAAAGAGGTAAGTGGACTCCTCCATGTGCTGGGGCAGAAGCCCCTTCCTCAGGAGTCTACAGTTGCTCTGCTCTGCAGTATCTCTCGCTGTGGGAGAACCTCCTGCTTGCAAGCAGCCAGAAGACGGGAGGGTTAGAGAGGCGACAGCAGGGTGACGGGATAGGCCCCCACAAACGCCAAGCAGAAGAGCTCATAACTGGGTGGGAGTGACCCACATTCTGTTGTCTGCCACATAACGTCCTCCTTGCTGGCAGGTGGGAGTCAGTAACATGAGGTTTGGGAACCAAGGGCCACCTGAAGAGACGGAGGACCGGTTCAGCATGCCCCTCATCATCACCATTGTGTGCATGGCATCCTTCCTGCTCCTCGTCGCGGCCCTATACGGCTGTTGCCACCAGCGTCTCTCCCAGAGGAAGGACCAGGTGAGGACTCCACGGCCCTCACTGGGGAAGCAGCCGTGCGCAAGGTCACCTCACCCCATTACCGCCCTGCCAGAGGAAAGTGAGTGGGCCCTGGGCCCTTCCTGACAGGCGAAGGCCATCCCTTACAGGAAGGAACTGCGAAGTTCCATGGCAAATTGAAGAGGCGTGTGGGGGGAGGGAAGGCCATGGGCTCTGGAGTCAGAAAGACTGGGGCTAAGCCCTAGCTCTGCCTCTGATTACCTGTGTGACCTTGAGCCCGGCCTGTACTCTCTGAGCCTCTCATCTGCATGTGGGGATAATGTCCACCTTGCGGAGCTGCGCTGAGGATTCCCTGAAAGAAATGGGCGAGGCATACCTGGCTAACCAGAAGTTCCTTACCTGCCTTGTCCGATTTCCCGTCAGGCCAGCCGCACCCAGACACGTGGTTCTCAGCCCTGGCCATGCACTGCGGGGGCAGTTAGGAAAATTCTCATGCCTGCCTCCGCACACACCAATTGAAATGGAATCTCTGGATCTGAGTATTTGCCGAAAGCTTCCCAGGTGACTTGACTTTGTGAGCCAGGTTGTAGGTCAGATAAAGACCAGGGAAAGCACTACCTCCTGGCTCCTCTCTGTGGCACAGATGGTATAGGTCCTGCTCTACCCATCTGGCTTAGGCTGAGAGAGGTCCTCGGTCCCCCGACCTGATGAAAGTCGTTTTCTTACAGTCCTTCCTGACTCAGTACAGTGGGGTGAGGCAGGTGCCTGGACAGTAAGTTTGGGTGGGTGGTGGGGGCGGGGGGGATGGAGGAAAGAGACTGGAGGCTTGTGGAAAACAAAAGTCCATTTACGCTGACTTCACGGATTCGCCCACAGGGTAGCGGTCAAGTGAGCTAGGCATTTCAGGATGCCGGGCAAGTCCCCGTTTCAAAGTAATCCTGAGGCAGGCCAGTAACCACGATGGCCTCCCAGAGCGTTTACTGCACACCCTACCCAACTGGGGTTCCTGGATTGTAGGGGCACCTGTGTAATAGGAAGGCCACGAGCCCTCAAAAATCACCCTTTCCTGGCTCGTCTTCCCTGTCCTAGCAACGGCTAACAGAGGAGCTGCAGACAGTGGAGAATGGTTACCATGACAATCCCACACTGGAAGTGATGGAGACCTCATCAGAGATGCAAGAGAAAAAGGTGGTCAACCTCAATGGGGAGCTGGGGGACAGCTGGATCGTCCCTCTGGACAACCTGGCCAAGGATGACCTAGACGAGGAGGAAGACACGCACCTCTAATCAGGTCCGCGGGCAGCCTCCGACAGGACCACAGCGCTCCAGACTGAACCACCTCAAGTGCCATTTGGACAGGGGAGGAAAATCCTTCCCAGTTGAGGGAAAGACGGGGGAGGGAAGCAGACTTGGAGGTCCCCTCCTCCCAATTCCCACAGGGCCTTAATTTTCCCTTTTCACCAAACTGAACAAATCACATTCTGTCTAGATTCCTCTTGTAAAATAACCCACTAGTGCCTGAGCTCAGTGCTGCTGGAAGATGAGAGGGAGAGCCACCCACATGGTCATCTAGTAGAATCCCTTCCTCTCGCATCCGAGGTGACTGAGGCCTAATGAGGGTAAGGTCCAGCTCACACAGCCCCTTGGCAACAGAGGCAGGATGGAAACAGAGATCCCCTCATTTAGAGCGGTGCGCATTCCCCTCGGAGCTCTCCCCGGTGGGGCGAGGCTCACAGTCGATGGATGGGACGAAGGGACCGCAGGTCCACATCTGTCTCCGGGGGATCGGATTCCTTCCAAGTAGAGGTCCCCAGCCTCGCCTGCCAGTGTTCCTGTCCCCTCTGTGCTTGCCCCACCCTCCACTCACTTTGTAGTCCCACTCTGTCCCAGGGCCTCTGGGACTCCCACCATCCAGCCGTTCATGGCCTCAAAATCCCCTGTTCTGGATTCTGGCTTCCTTGCATTTGCTTAGGGATCTTGAGACTTAACCCACACAAGACTTCAGTGTGAACGAGGTCGGCTTCGGGGATCCTTCTGCAGGTGAAGAGAAAAGGCGGGGCCCTTCACCCCCAGGATGGGTCCTGGCCCATCACCCAGGGCAGGAACTCCTTTGGCCTCCTACTCCTACCGGGGACTGAAATCTGCAGTGGCTATGAAGGCTAAGTGTTTCCTGTTTTGTCGTTCACTGCTCAGTTGGTGGGGTGAGGACCCAAGTTTGGGGATTCCCTTGAGACCCAGCAAGAAAGAGCAGTAGCTGTAGGGCAGACTTTCCCGGGGCCCAGTCCACAGAGGTGTCTTACCAGACAATCGATCGATACAGTTAGGAAGGATAGGCTTTACTCTCTGTTCCATAGGAAACTCAGGGACTTTTCAAGTTGCTGAGAGTTTTGTTGTATTTGTTTTTTAGTCCAGCCCTCTACTGCCACGAGCCAAAGCTCCAATTGTTGGGAGACTTTTTTTTTTTTCCAGTTAACTAATCTCACTGACTCCTAGTTCTGTGCTGTAGGGCCAGAAAGTGCGATGCATTTTAAGGTGCTCAAGCACCCGGGGCGGGGTGGGGCTGTGGGGTTCCCAGTGACCTCTCACTGTTCGGGCACGCAGCTGGGCCTTGCTGTGTCCCCTTCTCTGTGTTCCTAGCAGGGCTGCCAAGTTCTGCAGTTTCTGGTGGCATCTCAGGGAAGCAGTACCGGGAAGGGGTTTTGAGGGAGCTTAGCGGTTAGCTCCCAAGCAGAAGGCACCCAAGGACTGGACAGAGTGAGGTTTAATCTGATTTTCTGGGAAGCCCAAATCCCAGATTTTGTGGAACTTTGCCCACAGTCTCTTTTGCTCCTGGGTGAAATTTCCTGGCACCAACTAGGAGAATGGGCAGAACTGCTTAGGAGAGTGAAAACTGTAATTTTAGGGCAAGAGGTCAGAACCCCAGAACCTGCAGGCCCAGGCTGTGAGTCCTGATGAAATAGGCAGCCTGCTTTAGGACAGCTGATTTTTTAAAGGAGCTTAGCTGGGGGAAGATCTGTGTCCTTCCCTGGCTGCCTTGATTCCGTCTTCATAGCCTTTGGCCTATGATATCCTAGGGTTCAAGTAGGGCCTCTGGTGAGTTTCCCAAGAGCTATAGAGATGCCAGACTGACAAGGATCCAAAAGTATTTGCCCTGATTCTCTAGCATCTGGAGGTCAGCAGGGTAGAGAACAGTGCCAGTGTGGGGGAGAAAATAGAGGAAATCTTGTTATACCAGGAAAAGATGTTTGCTTCCTTCCTGGCCAACATTTGAATCTTTCCACCCTGTGGGTTTCTTGGAAGAGGCCAGGACTGGATCCTACTCCTTTGCTCTTTCTGGGTCACATTTTACCGGCCAGCCAGGTCTTTAGACAGAGACAGCAAGTATGCCTCCACAAACTGATCAAAGGCTACAGCCCCATGGCCTCTTGGGCAGAGAGATGATGTGTGGCAGGGACTAGAGTAAAATTACACTTGGTTAAGAGGAATGATTGTGGTGGCTCTGTCCAAGGAGAACCTTGGGAAGCTTTGGGCTGGTTCAGATGCTCCTTTGGGTGCATCCATCCAGACTGGGTGACTCTAGCCTTTGAGGGCAACTTCAGAATCCAATACCTTGCCTTGGCTTGCTCTTGCCACTAGACATCTGTGTCCAGGGCCATACAGCCATGCATCTGCAAAGGTCCTCTTCATCCCACGTCTGCACTGGGTTCTAAATGCTGTCTGATAAGTCAGATTCTGGGGCTGAGAAGAAAGAAAAGGAACACCAGGAACTCAGCATGACTCTAAACAGGTTGTGCCGAAGAGAGATTATAAACTTTGATCAGCAGCAAACTCGCTTCCCTAAGCTGCATAAAAGGCCAGAAATCATGAATCTGATGACTGGATGGAAACCCAGTGGGGAAGCACGCTGTTCTGTGACTGGGGAGGGAAGCAAGCAATGCTTATGAAGGAGGTACAGAATATGCTTTGCATCGTAGGACAGAATACGGGTTTAATCTAGTCTAGACGCAAGATTCTCTTTTTCCCTCATGATAAGGAAAGCTAGCAGAAAGTTTATTTAAACCACTTCTTGAGCTTTAACCTTTTTTGACAATATACTGGAGAAACTTTGAAAAACAAGCTGATACATATATACATAGTTTTTAATAATGTAAATACAACAGCCACATGTTAATCCACTCTGTACTGCTTTAAGTGAATATACACTGTAAAAACATTTGTTAGTCGAGGTGGCTTTTTTTTCCTCTGAAAAGGAATGTAAATGTCTATTTCACTACAAATGACAAGTTCTTTTTGTTTTGTTTTTCTCCAATGAAAAGTGAAATAGAAGACAAGCTGATGACAAAGTATTTGTCTTATAGATCAGGCATTTTTTAAATATGATCCTCCAACTCCCCCTCCCCAGCTAAGTCCTAGCCTATTACAGTAAGGCTTGGAGTCCATATGTGACACTCCAGCCCTAGGGAGAGGCTTTTAGAGACCTAGTCCAATCTTTGTTTTGTTCTTACAGAAAAAGAAACTGAAGCCCAGAAAGATAAAGTGGCTTAGCCAAAATCACACGGTTAGTGACAGAAACAGGATTTAAAACACCGGTGCTGTGGGCCTCAGAATAATCAGTAAATTAAGGACAGGCACCAGGATGACACAAAGGACAGAATTCCCTTCTCAAATCCTGTCCGGCAGCAAGGCTGGGGAGGGCCTGAGACCACATTAGGAACCATAACTGGTCTACAGTTCCTCGGAGTTATTGAGGCCTAAGACTTAAATGAGTGATACTTTTCTGTGAAGAAACAGTTTTGAATGAGTTTTTACACATCGATCTTCTACTAGCAGGACTAAGGATCAAAGGGAACAAGCTCTAGGAAGGCAGGGGGGGCAAGAGTAAAGCAATGGCTTATCTTTTATCACTGTCCTGAGCTGACTGGCTCGGGTTTGGTGAAAACCCAACACCCAGTGGAAGGGAGGGGATGACTATTTGATGTGTGTGTGTCTCTTTTGTTATTAGTGAATGTTAAACAGTTTGCCCAGGAGACTGGGGGAGCATATGTCTTCGTGGACAGGGGTCTGAAGTACACTGGAATTTACTGAGAAACTTGTTTGTAAAGATTATACTTAATTATTGCCATTTTCTTACAGAACTATATTTTGGAAAATTGTATACTGTCAATTAAAGTGCTTTTGTGTAAGCTGGTTCAAGCCCTGTTGAACTTGATTGACGGATTGGCTTATGTTCTTCACTTGTGCTCGAGGCTCATGGTGGAAGCGCCTGAGGACACGGAAGTGCCCTCTGCTCTGACCCTGTGCCGTCCAACTGGGGGGTGGGGGCGGGGTGCAGAGAGCGAAAGAGAAAGAGGGAAGCTGAAAAGAAAGGAAGAGGGGGATCCTGAGGGTGATCTTGGGCTGTTGCAGTGAACGTAACTGAATTTTCCCTCACACTTTTGTCAGTGTTCTACCTTCTTCCTTTCCTCCGCTTCTGCCTCAGACACAATGAGTCACCCACCACTGAAGATCCCGGAGCCCTGGTCAGGTGTGAATACACTGGCGAGGAGACAAAACGAAGATATGAAAAATAAAGAGGTTCTGTTCTGGCCCTGTTACTGCTCCCAAAAGGCTCTGTTTCCTTGTCACAAGAGGCCTCTCCCTGTCCCTTGTCTGGAGATGTGCGTGAAGATGGAGGAAGTGCAGGGAAGGAAGCACTCAAATGATTCTGCTTCTCTTCCTCTCCTAGGGTGGTATTCGCTCCCCGTCTGTTCCTCACTGGGGGGGAAAACTACCGCTCCCAACTTGCAGAACTGCGGAAGGGAAACCGTCCGATGAGTCTGGCCCGCGTTCAGCAATCTCCTCTATGGGCCTGGTACCTTACAGTTCACAAAACATTTTTACATAATCTTGCTTAGGGATGGGCACTTCTCTACCAACAGGGAACTTAGGTAGAGAGAGATTCTCTGAGAGGACACAGCTATTTCTGTGGCAGCGTGAGGCCTGGAAGCTGTATCGTTTCCCTTTAGTCTCCCATTCTTTTCTCAATACCACATGAATGCGGGAGTTCCAACAACAAAGTACATTTCTACAATGTGACCATTGTTACAACAGAATTTTCTACCCCCACCCCAATAGGATTTTCCTTTTATACAGGAATTCTGAAGGGCAGTGAACACCCTTAACAGGGGGCCAGAGTTGGGCCTGGGGTGTTTTGAGGTTAACTTCAGGAGTGTGCCAAGAATACAGAAAAGAGTACAAGCACCAGGAACAGGGCAAGCTCCTTGGCCATGCTTGAGGCACACTGTTCT